TGAGGAGTTCTTCCATCTAAATCTTAGCTTTTCAAGATAGGTTTTCCATTTAAACTTATGTTTGTGACAATAGCAAATTTTATATATGTTCTTGGCTTTGTAAACTCCATCTTAGTATGATTAACCACCTTAGCACAATAAAAGGTTGGATGATCAAATTACAAAAAATTATATGGATATGTATTGATCTTGTTTTTTTTTTTTTTTGGGTTGGCATATGTATTAATCTTGTTATTCTTTACACAATTCTCTGCTGCAACCTTGTGCTGAAAAGCAATGCGCGGACTACTCAAAAAAAAAAAAAAAAAACAATGCGTGGGATGTAATGAGCAAGCCTGGCTAATACTTTAACAGTTTAGGCCATTCAACGGATTTTACCGAAATGGCCCAAGTTCGGGTTTTTTTTTTAAAACACAGAATCCTTTCTTAGGATTCAAATCCCAACTTCAGCTTCCTTCTCCCGCAGCCATCGCAATCTAGCCTTACCAAATCCAAATTCACATGTATTTTTAATTAAATTTTATTTTTTAATAAAATTATTATTTATTTTTAAATTAATCCTATTTTTTTTATATTTATTTCTATTAAATATCCTATAATAAATATAAAATCACTATCAATAGGGGTATTTTTGAAAAAAAGACAATGATTATATCTCAAAAGATTAAAAATACCTTACATTTTTTAACGGAAAGAGTATCAAATATGTTAATTCTTAAGAAATAAAGTTAATAATAAATTATCAAAATTTAAAAAAAAGCTTTCAGAATTTAAAAAAATTTAATTTAATATTTTTATCCAAAATCAAACAAAGAAAGTTTATTTTATATACTGTTTACATTTTTATTAATTTTTTATAAAAATTCTGTAATATATAGAAATATTTTAAAAAATGTAATTATATAAATTTTGAATTATAAAAATTATGTAATTAATTCTAAAGTTATATAATTATTTCAAAAATATAAAAGTTCTTAATTTTGTTCTCAAGAAAAAATTCAAAGATTTTATTTTTAAGAGGTTAAAAAGTTGAATTGATTAAATACAAGAACTCAATTAAAAAAATTAAACTACAAGAATCTAATTTAAAATTGAGGAAAATTATAAGAACTTGCAGATATATTTTTTAATATACAAATAATAAAAACAAAATGTTTAAATCAATAATACAAAAAAGTTTACTAGTCTTTGTTTCTGGGTCAATTTCTAATTTAAAAATTTATACTTACATTAAAAAAATCGCGTATTTTGAATGGGCACAAAGTCCTCAAAGTCTTTGTTTTAGAGTCAACAGTCCTCAAAGACCATTCATCTATTTTTGTTTTATTTCATTTTTTTTTTTGGAATCCAGCATGGCCAAATGTATATATATGATCTGAGTAGTGAAGCTTTAGATTTAAGGTTACAATTGATTGCTGATGTTGACGCAAGAGGGGGAGAGTGAAGAAAAAAGAAAATGGAAAGCGTACAAAAAGGAGTTTTGGAAAATAGGGACCACCAGGAAGCAAGAATGGTTAAGGTTAACGTTTCTGCTTCTGCTTTTCCAAACGGATGAAAAGAAAATGAAAAAAACACTTGTTTTTTCACAATGACACTATCCCTTCAAAGTTCAAACACACGTCTTAGCTTGCTGCTAGCCGTTATCCCTTCCCTTTTTCCTCACACGCTGCTTCGGTAATTTGAACTAAAGTGAATCAACGGCTTTTTACCTTCGTATCAGACCACGCAAGTGTTCTTCCACTTTTTACCTCTCTTTTTATTTGAACTGCAAACCAACATTCATTCAACTGAATCAACAATTTCAAAGAACTATGCACTGGTGGTTCCTATATGTAGCCTGAATGAGCAGATTTTGGTTTTCATAATAATAATAATAATTGGTTGTTATGTTTTGTTTTTAATTTGGATATAGACTGGGAGCTCAATTTTGTGTCACGAGTGAATGTTTATGATATTTAGTGCCCGTATGGGGCGAGGCCTGATTTAATTTATTACAACCGTTAGGCTGTAATATACATTAACATTTGGCACGTGAAAACAACATCAAGACACATGACTTGGTTTAATATACATTAATACATTTGGCAGCAGACCATGAATTCCTTAATTTAGATTCCAGGGACTTGTGTTTGCAGAATAAGACACTTTTTAAAAAAAAAAAATTAACATTTCAAAATATAAGATATTTTGATAAAAATAAAATTTTACTAATGATGTTTTTATAATATTACCATTTTTATTATATTCTCTCTTTTTAATTTTTTTTAATAAATGGAGTTTTGGATGAGGACATTTTTTAAGTTTATATTTTTATTTTAAAAAAATAAAATTCTAAAGTGTGTTTAATAAATTTTATTGATATGTGTAATTTCATTTATAAATGTTTTATAATTTGGGATGGAAGAATATTTCTTCCAAAATCCATTGTAAGGGTCTACTTATTAGTCCTTGATACAAGATCTTTTTGTAGTGTTAGTATTAATTTTGTTAACAAATTATAATTAATCTCTGGAAATGCTCGTTTCTTTATAACAATGGCTTTTCCGTCATCTCATTCCAATGAGTTTTATTGCCAATCAATCAAACGGTAATTTTGAAAAGTTGTGAAATATTTTAATATTTAACTAACTATAATCAATTTCCTTAATATCAAGAAACTAATAGTTAACTGGGTCTTACAATAAGGATTGGGAATAATTCTTTTATTTCTTTATAAAATTGTTATTCACACACTCACTATACTTACTAATGACTAATAAAATATTATGCATACTAAATTAGATTCTTTTAAAAAAATGACATACGCCATAACCTAAAATTAACGACCTTAATGGCATCCCAAAATAGTTCGTTAATAGAACATTTTATTTAGAGCGCGCTAATCTTCGTCATAAATACGAGCTTTATAAAGTAAGGAACAGTTAACATAGCTTGGAATGTCAAACAGAAGTTAATGGAGTTTAAGAAGCAATCGAACCGTTCGTTCTTATATGTTCTTTTTCGGTAAAAAATAAAAAATAAAAAATTAAATAACAATTTTTAATTCTTTTAAAATCGTTTGAAACGCACAGCTTTAAGGCACAACGGAAAACTCACGAACGCTGCTCTCAAAAATAGAACATTTACAAATGGGGACAATAAATCCTCGGGAAATAAAATTTGCGTTCAAAAGAAAAACAGGTAACCATGGTTTCTGTTCTATTTTTTGTTTTTAAAAATTATTTTACAATACTCTCTCCATCTTAAATTATAAGTCATTTTTGAACAAAATTTCACATATCAATAAACATTATTAAATACACTTAGCAATCTTATTTTTAAAATAAAAATATAAACCTTCAAAAATATCCATCATTTAATACATTGAAAAAAGAAGAGATGAAAATTAATGATAAAGAGAGAAAGGGTAATATTTAAAATGGTACATTTAATGAAACCTTAATCTACTCAAAGTGTCTTATATTTTAGGACGAAAATGCTTTTTTAAAAGTGCCCTATAATTTGGGACGGAGGGAGTACTGTTTTTACAATTGTTTTTCATAACAAATAAAAAAAATTTGTATAACTATGCTAGTGTAAAAACAGTTTTAAAGTTAAAAAAAGCAAATGATAGTCTAATGATGGTGTCTTTTGATCATTATTGGTCTATAATTATAATTTTTAATAATTAAATTAATGTATTTAAAAAATGAAAAATGAAATGAAAAACAGCTTCAAAATGTTTATATTTTTTTGTTTTTCAAAACAAAAAACAGTTTTAAAAATAATTACATTTAAAACACCTATAGAAACAAATTTTTACAAAACAAAAAAAAATTAAAAACAGAAATGAAACAGACCCCTAATTTCTATCTTTTGAAAACTAAAGACATTTTGTGTGGCATTATAACAAAATACTATATGAAGATTGAAGATAAAGTGAGTAAAATTCTCTTTTGTTGGGTCATGAAGTAGAGCAAGCTGGTTCTGGTAGAAATAGGTGTTTTAACATGCATGCATGTGCTCAGCTATCCTTGTTTTCTCGGAATTAAATTCAATTGAATTAGAATTAGGTTTATTGATCAGCTGCGCCATTTATTGCTGATTTTTTTTTCCTCCATATGTCGTTCTTTCTTTCAAACATGCATGTGTTTATCTTCGTGAAGCATTTATGTTATTTGGTATTTGGTATACATCTTAACAAGTTTAAATTCAGAATAGCAAGCAAAACGATTCCTTATCTAAAAGCACCTGAAAATGCCAAATTGAAGAATTTTCAATCATCCATATTGCGATCTAGATTATCCATTTTTTTGTTTAATTCTACTGTGCATGTCAGACAGGACTTAGAAAAAATCAAACTTTAAAGAAAAAAATTATTGAAGCATTCCTTTGATGGGAGCCTAGCTCCTCAGCTATCATTTTTTAACTACTTATTATAATTTAGTTTGATATTTATATTAATTTTTTACAGGTATTTTTTTTATTAAAAGTAATCTTATTTAAAATATGATCAGATATTAAATATAAGTATATCTTTTAATAAGGATTTAAATTTTAGTTTATCACGTTTTGAAGGACTAATTTCTCCTATAAAACTTAATTGTGATGGTGATATTTATATTGATGAAATAATATTGATGGTATTGATTAAAAAGTTTGATTTACTTTTATGTTTTTTAAATAAAATAATAAAAATTGCCTGTCCTTGTTGCTGAAAGAACATGAAATGGGATGGGTATGATGGGAAATGAAGCATTCATACATGCAACAAAACAATATTACAATAACCAAGCGTTACAGATTAATCAATTAATCAAAGCAATAATAGCATGGTTGAGTACATACATCATGCGGTATCAAACATATGAAACGAAGGTAAAGGTCAATAAAGTAATTTAAACTCCACCCACCCTCGGCTGTTGACTCCGTCTGCAATCAAATACAGCTGCCTGGTTTTAAATTTTCTTTATTAAATATTTTGATCGTACTCTATACTTACTCTCAAATTTGAGCGAAGCTGAGAGCGAAAGCCAGAGAGCCGTTGGTATGGCATGTGGCGATTGGCAGTTATCTTTCCCGTTTCCACCTTCAAAACCATTGTTGTGAGAGAGAGAGAGAGAGAGAGAGAGAGAGAGAAGAGCAGAATCAGAATTCGAAAAAGCCACACGTTCTTCACTCCCTCGCCTTTTCAGCACAATAAACCCACCCCACAGTTTCTTCTGCTTCTCTAATTTGTCATGGCTGGAACTGAGTTGAGAACTTGCAAATCGTCCGAGTAAGCCACTACCTATTTGCCTTTTGCGTTGTGAAAACTTCCAAAAGTTCCTCAAAATGGAAGCTTTATCTAAGAAGACCGAACATTTTCAAAAGAAGAAAGACGGGGTTCGCTCCTCTGGGGCCAAAACGGCTAATTCTGAGTCGTTCACCGATTCGAGTGCGGAGTCAAGAGAGACGAGTTCGAGTGTGTCTAGCTCCTTCGGTTCAACTGAAGAAGCTACAGCCATCAAACCGTCCTCTTCGCCTGCTCCTCTTGGCTGGCCCATTCGCAAGGCCACGATTTCCAAGTGCGGCAAATCTGATGAAAAGGATAACCAACCTCTTTCCCATGAGGACAGCTCAAAATTTAGCAGAATCGGTTCAAAAATGTCAGGTTAGCACTTTTCTAGTTTCATACAGTGTTCTTGTTCGGACAACAATTTCAAAATGTGTTACTATATGCATCTATTAGTTGTCTAATTACTCCTTTCTGGTTAAAAAAAATTGTTGAGACAGAGATTGATATGATGAAGGAAAGGTTTGCAAAGTTACTGCTTGGTGAAGATATGTCAGGGTCTGGAAAAGGGGTTTGCACTGCACTGGCTATCTCAAATGCTATTACTAATCTCTGTGGTTTGATTTCTCAGGACTCCTTTAAAATTTCTTCTTTGATTTAAATTTTTGAAACTACGAATTTACTGAGTTTGGAATTTATGCCACATTTAGCCACTGTATTTGGGCAATTATGGAGACTAGAACCTCTGCCTGACGAAAAGAAAGCAATGTGGCGAAGAGAGATGGAGTGGCTTCTTTGTGTTGGTGATCACATTGTTGAATTAATTCCTTCTTGGCAAACATTTCCTGATGGAACCAAGCTTGAGGTAAAAGTTAATTCAGTTTTTATCAGTACCCAGAAAAATTAAGCCTAATTCCAAGCAAGGGAATTAAGAGGTTTCTCGTATGGTGATCCTGCAGGTAATGACTTGCAGGCCGAGGTCAGATCTTTTCATTAATCTCCCAGCTCTCCGCAAACTCGATAACATGCTAATGGTAAGTCTTGAATTTTGACTCTGCCTCTTTCATGATATATTGGCATTTAACTAGTTCTAGTTTGGGCGTGTTGATGAACACATCTCTTGTTGACAGGAAATATTAGACAGTTTCACCAGTACAGAGTTTTGGTACGTTGATCAAGGAATTGTGGCCCCAGATGCAGATGGGTCAGCCTCTTTCCGCAAGCCAATGCAGAGGCAAGAGGAGAAATGGTGGCTCCCTGTGCCTCGCGTTCCTCCTGCAGGTCTGAGCGAGAACTCCAGAAAGCAATTGAACCACACACGAGAATGTGCAAACCAAATTCTGAAAGCAGCCATGGCGATCAACGACAGTGCTTTAGCTGAAATGGAAGTTCCAGAGTCATACATAGAAGCCCTTCCCAAAGTCTGAATTTTGATAAATTCCAATGCATTTATGATTGAAACTTGAAAGAAAGCGGCTTCAATTTGTTGTATGTTGTTTCAGAACGGAAGAAGCTGCCTGGGGGATTTCATATACCGTTACATAACATCAGACCAGTTCTCTTCAAAGTGCCTGCTTGATTGCCTCGACCTTTCCAACGAACACGTGGCTCTGGAGGTTGCTAACAGAGCGGAAGCCTCAATATATGTGTGGCGTAGAAGGGCTCATTCGAGGCCCCCACCTAATCCTAGCCGTTCAACAGCAAAATCGTCCTGGGAAATGATGAGAGATTTCATGGCTGACGGAGACAAGAGAGAATTGCTTGCGGAAAGAGCTGAAAACTTTCTGATATCTTTGAAGCAGAGGTTCCCTGGTTTGACTCAAACCACCCTGGACACCAGCAAGATCCAATGCAACCAGGTTCCAACATTATCTCACTTTGATTTTTTATTTTTTTTCCTCTTTTGAAACAATATCCATCTTTCAAATTTCAAATGTCTCATCTAGAATAATTTCAGGACGTGGGCAAGTCCATTCTGGAGAGCTACTCAAGGGTATTGGAGAGCATGGCGTTTAACATTCTGGCTCGTATTGATGATTTGTTGTATGTGGACGACTTGACAAAACATTCAGACAGGTTTCCGTTAGTTTCTTCGACGGTTAGTCACAATCCTCAGCAGAAGTTTTCTCGTCCGATCTCAGTGTCTGTCTCAGGCACTCCTCACAAATCAGCAGGTAGTGGCACGAATAACTTCTCACCTGGACCACCGCTCATAAGTCCAGCAGAGAGAACTCCTTTCATCCGCAACAACAACAGCCTCAAACCTCATCGTCGTGGGTTTGGGGTGAAAAGGGTGTTGTCGAATTATCTTGGGGTAGAGACGAAAGCCAAAATATGTAGCAATTCAAGTGAAGTGAATTGCTTGAACTCACCAAGTACTACCAGTGGAACAGAGACAGAACATCCTGATCAGCCAAGGGAATCATGTGCTCTGAAAAAATGAACAATATCCAATGTTTCCATTGAAGGACAAGCGTGTTTAATTATGAAAAAATCGTCTCTGTATCATCTACTGATATTTATTGGTAGTTAGAGGTTGGTAGTTATTGTTATTGAGGTGAGTATATTAAGGAGGAGTTATGAAGCAGTTCAGCTCGAAGGCAGTTGGTATACATGTTATTGTATCTAAAGTTGGCTGGAATTGACATTGAATTTTAAAAGAGACTGTCGATTATTTGTGAGTTATGGTGATTTCTTTATCGGACAATAATTGGAGTGATTTCTTATCGTTGAGTGAAAGCACAAAAAATGTAGCTGGATTTGGCAGGGATTTTATGGCTGCAGTGCGCAATTATCTGCCGGATTTAAATTTAAATAGAAAGAAAATGGAGACAAAAATTGGGGCATTCCGAGAATTGAACTCGGGACCTCTCGCACCCTAAGCGAGAATCATACCACTAGACCAAATGCCCTGATTTGGTCATTTTTCCTAATATGGACAAATGATATGCTCGTACCTCTAGCAGACGCTATCACCCAACACCAAGGGAGATTGATGGACTTTATCCTCTTTTTATAAATTCGGTGAAATTTATTTTACTTAAAATTCAATTTGTACTGTCCATTCTTTTATTTTAACACCATCTTTGAAGAAGAGTCAATTTTTCAGCTAATAACATTACATAATTGTAAAACTTTTATTTGATAAATTTCAAAATGTGTAGAATACATGAATTGTGACCATATCTCCCTAACCATCCCTCTTGGCAGTATAAAGAAGTTAGAGAAAAATTCAACTGATGACCCCTGAACAAATTTAATTTTAAACAAAACCTCTACAATTTTAAAATTTTATTGTGCATGTGAAAAATTGAAATATAATTAAAAAACTAACTAAAATGATCTTATTGTTCTTAATAAAGCTAAGCATATAAATAACTTATGTAAGAAATTAATAATTGATGTATGAAAAATAGATAATTAATCTAAGTGAAATTTGTAACTCTCATTAATAGTATAATATCATTATGAATATAAACAAATAAAGCTAAACATATATAAACAACTTGTATAAAAAATAAATAATTAATTTATAAAAAATAAATAATTGACATATGTGAAAATGAGAGATGTAAATTTATAATAATGTTATACTGTTAATAAGAGTTATAAATTTTACATACATTAATTGTTAATTTTTTACATATTAATTGTTGATATTCTTACATGAGTTATTCATGTATCTATTTTTATTGAAGACAATAAGGTCATTTCACTTCACTCTTTATCTTTGTTTTAATTCTTTACATTTATGGTGAAATTTTATTCTTTTAAAGGGTTTGAGTAAAATTAAGTTAGATCAAAAGGTGCTTCATGAAAATTTCCCAAAAAGTTATAGACGTTTCATGGTCTTTTAGCTTTTTATCGCAAAGTAACGCTGTATTAGTAATTTAGTATAAACCTAAGCTAAAAAGAAAAACACACCTACTCCTTTGTTTCCGGAAAAAAGATCTTCATTTTTCTAAAAGTAATTGTGACCGCAGCAGCGCCGCGTCAACATCCCCTTAGGCTAATTGGAAGCGGCTTTCTCGGGCAGCTCGTGAACGGATAATAATTGTGGCATTTTATTAAGTTGATTTTATTGATATAATAAACGGGTCAGTACTCCAATCAACGGGTCGTTGTAGTATAGTGGTGAGTATTCCCGCCTGTCACGCGGGCGACCCGGGTTCGATCCCCGGCAACGGCGTTTTCTCCCTTTTAACCGTTTGCTTTTTCAAATTTGAAAGTTAAATTGAAAAGGAAAAAAAAAAACAGTTTTGTCGTTTACTGCTGTAAAATGATGTGTCCTCACGTGATGTCGCTCGCTTTCGATTGCGTTTTACTCACGCAACTGGCGTCAGTACGTTACCCCATTTCCCGTTGAACAATTCAAATTCATGGGAAACTATATTTATGTTATATATGCTGGTCAGGTTTCAACAACTGTGGTATGAATTTCGAAATTTGATTAGCGTGTCGAACTGTGGTATTAACACGTTTAACCCAAGATAAAAAGCTATAGATTATGATTGACTTAGTCTTAACTTAGTCTTAACAACTGATCGCTTAACAATTCTCTATCTTCCCTTTCTCCCTCTAGCCAGGCCAAACAATACTAGTTATCGGCCATGATCATCCTCTTTCTAAAATTACCAGTAGCATTATGGAGTTTGTTGTAAAATAATTAATAATCACTTTCCACCATGTGCTCAAAAGAGGCCAACAACAGCTTTAATTTGTTGGCTCGCCACGCTACCAACAAATCTATTGACAACATGGAGATGGTCTAAATTCAATTTTTTTATTTTATATTTATAATGAAAAATATATAAATTATAAACTTTTTTAATAGATCCATTTACTAGTTTGAATATTTCAGGTTTTATATATATGATTCAAATTTAATATTATTTTTTATAAATTGACTACTTAAATATATTTTAGATGGCACAAATTTAATATTAAAAAAATTTTTAATGTTAAATTTGGACTGTCAAATTTATTAATTTTTTATAATTTAAGTAATTTTTTATTTTAATAAAGAAAAATAAAAAATTTTAATTCAAATCACTTAAGGGCTGTTTGAAACTATTTTTATTTTATTATTTTGAGAACTGGTGTTCTGTAAAACATATTCTAAGAAAAAAAAGAAAAGTAGGTGTTTTTCTCATTCTTTTTTGTTCTTCAGAACAATAATCACATAACACCTAAAAGTTATTTTTATTTTTTTATTTTTTAAAATAATATTTTATTTTTTTGTTCTTCAAAATACTTTTTAAAAACACGTTACCAAATAGATTTTTTTGTTCTCTTATTCTGAAGAATAGAAAACTGTTTTCAAAAAAGTTTTTCAAATAGACCCTTATTCTTTTTATGGAGGATATGCAATTGAGGAGATGCACGCGACACTTAACTCAAAAGGAAGAGGAAAGCCTAGTCCTCCCTTGTAAGTAGAGTTGAGAATAAGGATCGAGTTTAAAAATCTTGTTAAAAAAAGGGTTCATGTTTGAACAATTTAGGATTTTTAGGGTAATCAGGTTTCTGGGCCTATCCTTGATAAGCAGTGAAAAAAAAAACTCAAGCTCGAATGGCCCTTCAACTCCTGTTCTATTTTTTTTCTTTTATCTTGAAATGCATCATTTAGTAAATGAGAAAAAATCTTAAGCATTTAATCATTTCAAGTTTCCTAACTCCCTTCATCTTTCAACTCAACCTTTCCTTCTTGTCCTTTCCTTTCCTCTAGTTGTCTCACCTCTCCCTCATGTCGTTTTGCTCACTCTCTAGCTCTCTCCATTTATTGACTTACCTCTCCCTCTCATCTCTTGACTTGATGTCTCCTTTTTAACGTTCTATTACTATGGCATTTTGACTCTCTTACTCTCAGATAATTCATCTTTTAGCATACACTCTTTTTAGTTTATGTTGAATTTTAAAGCTAAATTATAATATTAAATATTATAATATTGATTTAAATTATTTTTTAAAAGAATAATATTAAATTATAATATTATTTTTTATTTTTTTGAAATTGAGCTTTTAGGCCAGACTCTGAGCCCTATTAATAAGGACCAAATCTCAAAATTTTGACAAAATTTAAGAAATTAGGCTTTAAAATTTAAGTCCTTAAAAATCAAGCCAGCCTGTCCACCTATCTCTTCTTTTTAAAATTTAGGTTCTTAACAATCAGGCCCACCTGTTTACTATCTCTTTTCATGAGGGAAGGACAGGCATATATTTCACACACAGCACAACACTTCCGTGGTCCCTCGTCAATCACATGGTTGTAGATTTTTTTGTTTTGTGAACTATGATGTCAGTTTATTTATTTTTAGAAAAATTACATCAAAACCTCACACAAAAGATAACTTACTATCAAAGGATTTTATAAATTTTATAAAATATTTTTAAATCTTACATATTTATAACTTAATAAAAAGCATTTATAATTAAACAATAAACATTTATAATTTACTATTATAAGTTGTTTTTTTTCTTTATAAATTACAAATGACGTTGTTTAGTTATATATGTTCTTTGCTGAGTTATAAAATTCATAGGATTTGAGACTTATGAGTTTTTTACAAATTTTATAAAACCTAAATAATAAATTTTTTTATATAGAACTTTGATGTAATTTTTTCTTTATTTTTTTGCACCTTTTTCATGACTTCATATTACAAAAATGCTAGCTACAGTTTGGATGCAAAAATTTATGAAAAATTCACTACAAAGTCTCTCATAAAAACTCTCATTATTATAAAGTTAGAAAAATATAACTTTAAGTTTTTACACTTTATTAAAGTTTTGCAATAGATCATTGTATCATTTTTTTAATATTTTAAGTTCTTATATTTTTATTTTTTAATATTTTAGGTCGCTATAACACTGCTCGTGAAAGGACTTAAAACAAAAGATATATAAAAATTTAAAATATTAAAAAAAATACAGAGATTTATAATAAAACTTGAGTAAAATGTAAGGATTTAAATTTATATTTTTTCGATAAAGTTTCATAAAAATGTATAATTTGTCCCAGGTCCCAAATCTTTTATTCTAAATATATTTTATTTATAATTATTAAAATACCCTTATTGTTATCCTTATTCTTTTTTAATAAATAACCCATCCACTGATTCCCAAATCTTATAGGTTTGTCCTCGACTGGAACCTCTGATGGAAACAATGGTGATAACTGAGCCACCTCCAGCCACCTCCTGCATCATTAAGCGATGATAAGATTTTAATTCGGCATTAATTATTTTATGGGGTTCTTTGTTGCCATTCTCCCTAGTTTTTTTTTATTATATTACCTTCTAAGATTCATATACAATTTTTTTATAAGTAAGCTATAGATTTGGAGGGTAAAATGCTATTTTCCCTTAAAATAAAGTAAAGATGAACTTTAATTTAATATTAGAAATTTATAAATTTTATAAATTAATCATTTAAATGAACTTTAAATAGTTTAAATTTAATATTAACATTTTTGTATTTTTATTTTAATAAATATAATAGTAAAATTATTTAATAATTAATTTAAATGAACAACATGGATCAATTTGAGTTGAAACGGGAAGCCAAGATTGTTCCTAACTTTAATGAGCATTTGGTGCTCAATGCAGAACGCATTTATTAAAAAAGATAAACAAGAGTATTTGAGTGATTATGAGTCAAAATTTATTTAAAATAAAAGATTTGGAAATTGGTGCTACTTTGTATATTTCATAGGTTTAGAATTCCTTTAGGGACTTTACAGTGATTTTTCCAAAATTTATCTTGATCACGTGATTGATTTGGTGGTTGACAAAATAACATTTCTCATAATTTCACTCTTTCAAAATTAAGATTTGTAATTCCCATATCTTCTTTAATTAAAATGGTGTTTATGTTAAATAAGATTTTATAATTTAATAAGTGATATTTCAACTAATTATTATTTCATAATGTAAAATATATTTACTTATAATGCATTTCTCAACCGCATTGAGCCACTCACGCACTGTGTAGTGCGTACAATAGAAATTTTTATGAAGTTTTTGTAAAAGGGTTTTAGCTCAATCAAAAACATTAATTTTTCATAACACAACAAATTATTTTTAATTTTTTTAGTTAAAGTGCCTATATTTATGTAATATTGATAGATAAAAAGGTATTTTTTTCAAAATAAAAAATATCTATCTTATTTTTTAATGTATTTCACATTTTTTCTACTTATTTTCATACCATATGTTACCTTAATGTCTAACTATGTTTAATGAAAAAAATGTCTAACCATGTTTTGAATAGAAGCACCTGGATGAAAGGATAAAAAGATAGATGTAATTAGGGAAAGAAAGTTTGTGTGACGTTTTTAATAAAAATAATATAGATGTATATATAATAAAAGCAGCCATATTTTGTACACTACAGAGAACATGAAAAATAAGTTATATTCATGATTTTTATTTTTATATAGAATTTTTTCATATATTATATATGATTTTTATCTTTGACGCAAGGGAGCAATAACCATTATAATTTTTTTATAATATAAGGTAAAAGTATAAACGAGTAAAAATAAAATTACACAAAACATGGTAAAATACGTAGAGAAAAAAAAATGGCATGAAAATATTAATAAGTTCTTAATAGTATGATATCGAATTTATATATGTAGTGCTGGTCAAACAAAAATTTTATTTATAGGACTCACTCTAATTAAAAATAGAAGACATTTTTAATTAAATTATATTATTCAACACTTTCCTATAAATTAATTATACTCTCCAACACTTTTCGATACATTAATTAATTATATTTACACTAACTTTGTCTTTTCATGCATGTTCTTATTTAATATAATGTTTTATTTTTTTTGATAGTAGAAGAAAATAAAAACAACTATTCCCTCCAATCTATAATATAAAATATTTTTTAAAAATTTGACTTTATTTAATATATAAAATATTGAATATGTGTTGCGTACTCTTTTCAATTACACCATTATCTTATTGAATAATTAATGAGGTATTTTTAATAAGTTAAGCATTATACTTATTATATTTAAGGTCACAATTGAAAAAAATGATTTTTTTAAAAAACCAGATTTTAATAAATATAAATTAATTAATAATAATTTATATTATAATCAGAAGAGAATAACTACAAATTAAAAGATAAGTAACTGAGCTCGTGGTAGAATAAAGCGAAGACCTATGAAAGTAGGGTATTTTATTTAAAGGTAAATATTTAAGTGATTTATTCATTAAGAATATTATTAAAAAGATTTATTAATTATATATTGAAAATTTTATATTTTTGAGTATTTAATTTTAAAAAATATTTTATATTTTTCAATGGTGAAATATTTATAAAGCTGCCAAGCAGAGTTATCCATTCACATTTTGTCGTAATTATTAATATTGATGTTAAGCATATTATTTTTTACATCAATTTTTTTTTTACCCTTCGGACGTCGATTCATCCGACACCGAAATATCGTGTGATGTCTGGGCAAAGGGCCCGAAGGAAAAAAACCGGCAAGAGTAAGACGTGTGTAATACGGCACGGTGTTGCCTTGCCTGCCCTAAAAATAAAAATAAAAAGGAAAACGAAAAAGAAAAAGAAAAGCAGTGTGAGTCGGTGACCTTTCCCTTCGCTTTCACATCCACGCCGAGGAGAAGCACAACAGAACACCGGATCGATAGGCAATCGATTCGGTCACCGTCTTCACTGAAATGTCTTCTTCTTCCACCACCAGTGTTCATATCAGCGCCTTGAACGCCATCGTGAACGTCAACTCCCTCTTCACTCTTGCCGTCTTCATCGGTTTGACTTGGAACCCCTACGACCCCACCAACAGTCTCATTTCCGATTCCGACTGCGTCGCCTCCCCTTCCATCGCCGAGAACCTTGTTTCCTTCCATGTCTACTCCTTCAGCTCCTTTCTGTTCTCTAGCCTCGTCGCCCTCGCTCTCAAGTAGGCCATTCGCCTCTCTCGCTCCCCCGGTTTCCACTATCCCGTCGAGTTCTTCGCCCACATCAACAAAACTGCTCTCCGCCTCGGCATGCTCGTCTCCGGTGCCGGTTCCGTCAGCGGTTGTGGTTTCTTGATGATGGCCTTGGTCAATGTGGTGCAGATCAAGCTGGGCACTCTGGCCTGTGGCAGCTCTCACACTTACTCTGCTGCCATCCCGCTCCTCATACTGGTTCCTTCTGCGCTTCTCATTTACGTATCTGTTGTTTTGTACGCTTTTACTCGCTAGGATTCGTGTGTTTACTATGTATGTTTGGCTTCTTCAACAAAATAGATAGTGTCCTTTATCCTGTATGATTCGGCTTTGACCCTTGCGGAATAGAAAGTGTCCTGCCGCGATCTTGTATGATTCATCTGAAATCACATTGAATATAAGTCTTTTCTTTTTCTTCTTCCCAAATTGCAATTCGCTTAGTATTTTTGTGTTTTAAGAAAAATAATGTGAACTTGGGTTGTGGGTATTATGGATGACTTTTGGCGGTTGAAATCAGCTGCTTCTGTTTGAGTGATATAGAGAGTTCGGGAATGTAGCAAAATTGAGTGAATTGTGGGACGGGTCTTGTGAGTGATCTTAAAGCGATGTTCATTTGTAGTTCATTTTACTTACATCTGATACCATATTACTTTACATCCTCATACTTATGTGGAGCATATAATCTAACTTGTAATTAGACTATTGTGGTTTGGAAAGGCACAAATGTTTGTTTGTGTTGAGGGTCTCTGGAAGGAAAAATCTTTCAACCTTATGATGATGGAACATTTCATTTTTGTCTACGGTTTCTTCTTTTCTTTTTCCAGTTTTGATCAATAAATTTTCAGCTGAATATCAATTCAAACATCCAATTGAATATATAAATATATATCTGCAAGCATCATCAACTTTCGTTTGGAATCATTTGGACGGATGGACCTATGACTACTAATGTTGGAACTAAATGAAACCCCAACTACAGACTGGGTTCAAGGTCCCCTATTTTTAAGAGAGATGTGGAGACTTTACTACTTTGCCATGTGGAGTTTTTCCATCACATAAATACTGAGACTAAACATTATTTATGATTGAGTGTGAATAAAGAAATAGGGATGTTTACATTCTTGTGACATTGTTGATGGAAACAAATATTGCTGTAAGTGAATTGTACTCTGAGTGAAACAAAAGTGATAATGTGGTATTATCAAATCTAAACTAGATAATGGGATTCTCATTTATAATATTTATATATTTATAAGCTGACTGATTTTTATGCATTTAGGAACTTACCATAAACCAATAACATAGATGAGGAAAAATGAAGGTCAAATGACCTTTTTAAGATTTAAATTTTCATTGAAGAATAGCATGTATTGTCATTCTATGCCAAATGGAATCCAAAAAAATACTCTGGAATATATGTGAGAATGATGACATATGGGATTTAGTTAGCAAACAGGGGCAAACATCAGAATGACGGAGTTTCCTTTACAGTTTACAGTGAAAACAAGAAAAATATGTAGAAAAACAGATAATGGTGATCTTCCACCAAGACCATTCAAGAATTTGTCGATGACCTTCACTTTGATTCTTCCCTCTTTTCGAAACCTCTCTTCTGAAACTGAATTGCCAGAAGCCACCCATCCTAAGAATAATATTTGTCTCCTCTTCAGTCTACCCGAAACTGTTACATAGAACCTCATCACAGCCTTCCTATTCTCTACCTCACTTCCTGGATCCTCTAAAATAGGCCTTGAATATGTGGGCTTATCAACTTCTCTTTCTTATCCCCTGTTACGTTCATAGCCTTGGTTCAAGTGACTATGGAGCATTACAAATGGACATAATTTCAATTTGTGACTTTGATTACTCTCCTTTTTTCCACCGTCTTATTAAACCAGATAATTCTGTGGATTGTTAGTCCTCTTATCATCATTCTGAAGCTCTTATACGGCCAAGAAGTTATCCAACTCTTCAGCCATACAGTGGATTGGTGGATTTGAAATGTGTTTTTCTCTACTGTTTTGTCAAATTTAACCAACCGCTTATCTGGTAAATATCAATATCTTATGCTGGACTCTGCTGGAAAAAAAAAAAAAATTAGCCAACAGTTTGCCTTTGCCCAAAAAAAAAAAAAAAATCTACTGAAAATTTGGACGGTTCTTGTTAAGAACTTGTGATAAATTTCAGTAGAGAAACCTCCCAACTCTACTTGTCTGGGACTACACTTGTTTTGGTTAAAAAAAAAAAAGTGTACTACAATTTTGGCTCTGATAAATGTTAAATTTTAATTCTCTGTTTGTCTTTGTATTGCCACTTGTGTCAGTATCTTACGGTGCTCGCTACTTTTGATATCTGCATCCATTGCACAAATATCAACAAAAAAAAAAAAAAACAACAACAAGCATTATCTTATTAGACTTGGACGGCTACATAAATTGTACTGTATCATTATATTTTATCATTTATTAATCTTTTAAAAATGTTGTTAATTAAGAGATTTAGATGAACAGCTTTCATAAATGTTCTTTTGGCCTTCTTCTAATCATTTTTACAAGGTTTAAAATTATTTGTTTCACTTTTTTTATTGGTAGCTTCCGCAGTCTTTTTTGCATATATCCAAATTATCTCAAATGATTTTTTATCATTTTTCTTTCAATAGATGTTGCATCCACTTTTTCTTGTATATGTTCATTTTGAATTTTATCTTTATGTATATATTTGGACAATTATATCAACATTCTTATCTCCACTGCTCTAATTTTATGCTTCTATTGTCTCTTAAAGTCTAACATTCACTACCATATAATATAGCTAGCCTTATAGCAGTTCAATAAAACTTTCCTTTAACTTTATTAGGTACCTTTCGATCATAAATAACTTATTTAACCTTTTTTCAATTAAACCACCTAGTTTGTATTTTATTTGTAGCATCCCCATCAATTTTTCCGTCATGTTGAATAATAGCTTCCTATTAAGGAAAAAATGGATGGTTTGGGCATGTATAAAGAAGACCGCGGGAGGCACTAGTGAGAAGAGTGGAACATATAACTTTGAGCCTTGTTAAGAGAGGTAGAGGAAGATTTAAGAAAACACTCTTGAAAATAGTTAAACGCGATCTCTTAATTAATAATATTTCTAAAAGTTTGATAAATGATAGAGTATAATAGCATCTTGTAATTCATGTAGCTAACCTCACCTGGTAGGATAAAAGCTTGTTGTTGTTGTTTGTTGAATAATAGCTCCCAAATATTTAAATTTTTTTACTTGAGTTATGATTTATTTTTTTTTAATTTCACTTCAAAATTATTACCAATTGACCTCTTATTAAAATTACAATGTAAATATTTTGTTTTATCCATATTCAGGCAAAAAAATTTTTTTGACTTCAAGGTCTTCCTCTATAACTCAAGTTTGTAGTTAACTTTTTCTCTTGTTTTCACAACAAAAATTATATCATTTGCAAAAAAGTTTGTATTTGAGGATTTCTTCTTGAATATACTTGGTCAAAACATTTAGGATCAGATCAAATAAATAAGGATTCAAAGATGATCCTTGACGTACCTTATCGGAAAAGTCTTTTGTTTTATCGCTAGATATTTTTATACTAGTTGTTGTCTCCTCATATATCTCTCATATAGCTTTAATATAGGCAATCTAGTCTTTCACTTGGGTTTGGAACTAGCTATAAATATAACCAGAGTTCCATTGCAAAAATATCATCTGCATTAATTTTAGTAAGAATCCATCACGATAAATTTTAGTGGAGCCATTAGTGATCATTAAGTAAGTACTTCTGTCTTTAAGTGTAATATGAGCAAAATCCACGCTCATGTCTTCACTACCGCACTCCATGTACAAGTAATTTATTTTGTTTCTCTTGTAACTACCGCACTCTCTTATGTTGCATTATTTTGTTTCTCACTTTCTCTAAGAAATGAGTTGCATATTTCATGGTTCATGAATAATAATATGGCTTGTTAAGTTTTTATATTACATATTGATTGCAGACGTTCTGGATTAAACTCCTTGAGTCCATTCTAGGCATAGTAGACGTTATCTCTTGGATGAAAGCTATAGAATTTGGCTGTCTTAGGGTAAAGTAATATCATTAGTCTAGTTTATTGCACCTTATAAATATGACAGTTCTTAGAGAAGCCAAAACGTGAACTCTTAGCTCAGTGCGGCATATTCTTTTCATTTTATAGAAGGGATTAAAGCAGAAAGACTGACGTGGCTCATACTTGAAATTTTTTATATGCTGTTTACTTATAAAAAGTTGTTTGACACTTCTACGGGCTAAAATCCTAATGGAAACTTTGCATACTATCATTGGCCGAAGATAGCAAAATAAAGCTTAACCTATTGATGGAGGAGCAAGTGATGGAATAAATTAAAGCACTTCCTCCAGTCGCAGCTCCACCTTGAATTGGGGACATCACATGCTAGCGCCTTTCTATTACCTAGTGGAGTATAAAATGCTATGAAGTGAAGTTTTATAAGCAGGATTAAGGAAGCACAAGCTCAGATGAATTACATTTGTTTTCTAGTGCTTCTTGTGATTCTTGCCCTCATAAACCATAATGAAGTTTATGGGGCTGGTGAATGTGGGAAATCTTCTCCTGACAGAGAGGCTTGGAAACTAGCTTCTTGTGTAATAGCAGCACAAGATGGGAATGCTCCAGTTTCGGATAGGTGTTGCAGTCACATAAAGAGACTTGGCCAGAATTTTGCTTGCCTTTGTGCTGTTATGCTTTCTAGCACAGCCAAAAGTGCTGGAGTCAAGCCAGAAATCGCAGTCACCATTCCAAAACGTTGCAATATTGTTGATCGTCCTATGAGTTACAAGTGTGGAGGTCTGTGATGGTTCATTGCAATTTATTCATTTCTGTCTTGAATGTTAACTATCAGTAATATATGGCGATACTCATAATCATACCGATCATTTTAATTTTTCCTTCTTTGCTTTTGCAGATTACTCAGTGCCTTGAAAGTTGAAAGGGTAGTGGTTATGGACATGCAAAATGTGTGGTGCGAATCTCTCGAAGAGTGTGAATTATAGTTCACTTTATGTTGGTGGAGTCCTATGTTATGTTTAAATAAAATAGCTTAAGCCATATATTGGATAAGCTTCTATAATTTAGCTTTGCAAAAACTGATTTGTTTCCATTATTGGAGCAATAAAATTGGAACTATTATCTTTTGGACTGAAAGGAAAATGGAACTAATTCAAACTTAGATTAACCCCTCAATCATAAAATAAGAAATATTATTACTTTGACATCCTAACTTAAATGTGCATCCAAACCTTTTGTGTGAATGTAAATACTGGATGCACATAAAAGGAGTAGACTTATGTATACACAATTTTTTTTTTAAAAAGTGTCTGTTAATATTATAGTTAAATATCTCAATTCCATGTCTTTGGTTTCCTCTTTGAAGTTAAAATTTTATACCAAGTAATTAACTGCACCGGTTTGTCTGATGCATTTAATATTTGTTCAAACCTTGTTAACACTTGTATTAGTTTGTTTGAAGTTGCCAATACTTGTTACATGCTTGGTAAGGCCTTGATAACAATTGCTTCGAGATTTTCCAATGTAGCCAACACTTGCCATATGTTTTTTTTTTTTTTTCCCTCAGGTGTGCTAACAATTTGATATTTAGTACTACCAATTCTAAATTGTAGGTAAGTGCTATTAGCACAAATTTTCTTTTATTTTTAGTTTTCATTAATAAGATTCAAACTTCAAATTTTGTTTTAGGATATTAAGTCTAATACACATGAACCTAGATGACAACTACTTTTTTTATTCTATCACTTTGTGCGATGGAGAATTCAAATTCACGCTCATGTACGACCATTCTTATTAATGATAACCTCGCAACGCTAGCTTTAATGATGCTTTTGATATTTTTATTTAACACAATTACATATTCCACGATTTAGATTTGATATTTCAAGATAAATTGATTCAATTTCCATAACCAGTCTAATCAAGCATCTCTAAATAAAAAGACAACAATTTTAATTGTAGAAATAAATTATACTCTTGACCAAAAAAAAAAAAGAAGGAATGGAATTATACTCTGGAATTTTAAAGCAAGGAACTTTTTGGGTTTAAACTATAAAATTATTATTATTGTAAATCTAAAAGCTTGTACAAGAAGTATATTTTTGGTAGATTCTTCACATATAGCCTATAAGTACTTCCCTTGTCCCAAATTATAAAATAATTTAAAACAAGATTATGTATATCAATAAAGCTTAATAATAATACTTTATAATTACTTTTTTAAAATAAAAATATAAACTTATAAAAAATCTTTATTTTAAATATCAAATTATTTTAATTCTTTTTTCATTTTAAAAATAATATTAAAAAATATCATTAGTAAAATCTTATGTATCTCAAATTATTTTATATTTTGAGATGTCAATATTCTTTTAAAATTGTTTTAGAATTTAGAAGAGAGAAAATATTTTACTGATCCTTCCCAAGTGTGATCTTTAAAATTTTTTAGTGTGAGGACTTATTTTTTTTTTAAAAAATATAGTATACTAAATACATGAATAATAAAATACTTATAAATATTATTATTGTAAAAAATTTAACAGGAGGCTCGTCCATTTATGAATTCCGAGAAATGAGCCTCCGGGGGTAGATTTTTTTAAATGTTGTGAATTCTTCTATTGATAGAATATTTTTTTGGCAAAAAAAGCAATATAATATTTTGAGTGAATTGCATTGCAGGCTATAAAAAATAAAAAAAATTATATTTTAGGCCTAAAAATTATGATAATGTACTACAGGCTTAAGGGCCCTTATTGAAATTTTTATTGGGAGTAAAAGTATAATTTTGTCCCTAATAAAAATGAAAGAAATGAACTGAAAGTAGTAGAATGATGTCAAAGGAGGGAAGCTTTCTTAGCTAAAAGAGGTGAAGGTTTCTCAATTTTGATGGTGAGAAGTAACTTTTAAGGTATGTAGATTTTAAAATCCATCCATCCTAAATAGTGTTTTTGTTGAAAATTTTTCTATTAAACTTTGATTTAATCACATTATGAAAAATAATGTAGCTTACTAATAAAAAGTAAAAGCATCCTCTAATATATTTTGGTGCCTTTGACTTTCCCTTCTTCACATGCTTCTTGTAGAGCTAAATTTCCTGATTCAACTCCTTTAACATAAAGCTTGCCTAATCAAATTTGAACCATGAACTATTTGTACAAGCCAACACCTTCAACACCTCATCACTGACTCGAGGACTTCCACTAGGACACAATAGAGTTTCAAGTGTCAACAACAAAAAATGAAACTTGAGCTTCTCATTCTTAGACTTTGAAGTTATCCTATTCTTCAAATCATTTAATGATATTGCTGAATAATTTTTCTTCAGGTCTGCTACCAAGTTCTTGTTATCATTCAAATCTATTGCTCTTTTAGCATTAGGTAACCCCATAATTTGTTGAATGTGTCTTGCTCTCACCACTACTGTTTTCCCCCTTGTAGTCTTTTTTTTCTTGTTAGAGGATCATAAGATTGCATTATATTTTGGCATAACTCTTTTGGGATTTTCACACATTTGACATCCAATAATTTAGAAAACCTAGCTGCCTCAACCTTCTCTTTTAAATGCTCCCTCTCTTTTATAAAATTTGTAATTTCTTTGTATTTTGCTGGAGAATATCGAGTGTTGAAAGAAATTTGATTTTTTTTTTTGAATTTTCACTTCTCTATGTTCAATGGCCTTAATTCTTTATGGCTCCCTCTCTTCTTCGCTCATTTATTTCCACATTTTAGGTAAAGCTTAATTTGAGTCACCTACTTTTTTGTATTTTCCTTTATTAATCTCCAAGAATTCTGTTCTAAACTCATGACATCTTGTAATTGAGAATGGCTTTTTTATTTGTTCAGAGCCATTTTATGCTATGTACATGCACAAATTAGCAATCCAAAAGTTGAGTTAATAAGTTCAAGAATTGGTAGAGTTAAAAAAATTTACAACTTAAATTTCGAATATTCACAATTTCAAGTTCATCAGTTTACAAGTAGAAGTCCACAATTTTTGACTTCACATTTTCAACACCAAGGTTCATTCATAGCAAGTAAAAGTTTCATTTTTTACCACTACAAATACATAATTTCTCAAGTATAGGCTCATAGATTGACAGGTAAAAGCTGAAAATTTGTAACTATGGAAAATCAGAAATAACATTTTAATCACAGCAAGTACAACTTTTGAATTTTACAACTATAAATTTACAGTTTTACAATATGGTTTTATTAACAACTAAACATTTGTTGGTAGTGAAATTCTTATTCAAATTTTGACAAGTTGTTGGAAAATTTCACAGATTTATAACTTAATTCACTTATTCACAACCATATGTTATTAGATTCACAACTAATTGGCCAAAATTTATAACTTCAAATAATTAGCAAAAATGTTTAGTGACAACAATTTTGAAATTTTATGACTAAAAGGATGCTTAGACTTCATTTAGGGCTTTTCTAGTTTATGTGGTAGACAAAAGCGGTGGCTAGGGCCCAACAATTTTGAGTGGAAATTTAAACAAGTCAGCATCAAGTTTCACCAACAAGCTTAGTTATCTTTTTATGATTGACTTGTACCTTACACACACCCAAAAAAAAAAAACCAAACAACACTACTAGAAAAATTTTATTAGTTCCTTACAATTGCATCAATTCATCCTCTTTTTTTTTTTAAATGTTACAGTACGTACTATTCTTCAAATGAAACATTTGAAAATGGAGACAAATTTGGTTGGGACTAAGGGACTCGGCATTATTAATGAAAGGCCGTGAGCTAGGGAAACACACCACACCCCTTCCTTTTGCATTCTCTTCTTTTCATGTCCTTCTCTCTCAGCCAAAGTTTAAACAAAGAAACGAAGGAAGAAAAACCCATTTAAATGATAGACATGGACCTTTTTCTCCAACTTTTCTTTCTTGCTCCTCAGAGCAACCATGTCTTTTTTTGATTCCTAACCACACCATCAAATAAAAATCTAAACCAAAAATGAGTTCTCATTTCTCAGTTCCATTTTTTTTAATACAAGGCCATAGAAAATTATGCAAAACTAGGTGAAGTCAAGTCAAGTAAGAGTGTGACATTTTTGTGGAAGGTCACCAAAAATCAAGATGTCAGTGTTGCTGTTCAATGCTTGATGAACAAGCCAGTCCACACACTTGTTGGCTTCTTTAAACACATAGTTGAAATTGATAATCCAGTCCTTCATGATAAGGTCTTTTATTTTCATTATTGAAACGAAAAGAGCAGAATGAAACAGAAAGAGCAAGAAACGAGCTAAAACGGAAGGCACACATAATGAGCATCATAAACTCTTTGTAACCGCCCCTTAACTTCTGTAACTCCCCTTTAAATTTGTATGGTTTAGTTTCACGAATTCTAGGACTATAAATAAGACCTTGAGACTTGTGAAAGAAGCAGACTTGAGAGAATAAGAATTGCTTGTTTTTCATTTAGTTTCTGTGCCATTTTTGGTATCAGAGCTGGTCCAGAGAGCGAGAGAGTGAGTTACAGTTGAGAAAGTATGCCGGAAAGAAGAGAGATTCAGAGGAGGAGTCCCTGACGTCTTCGCGTTTTACAAACCAGGCATTTTCTTAGAAAACTAACATCACCATCGTGCTCAGGAGGTTCAAAAACGTGGAACAAGAGGTTTTCCGTCACCGAAAACAGCCGCACGCGCCACCGTCGGAAGACCACGCGCCTCGTCGCCGGTCCACGCGCCTTCACACGCCATCCGAAGGTTGAAGACGCTAACGTCATCTGCCACGTCATCGTTCTGACCGGTCAACGACAGGTCAGCCCAGTAGTTTTCTGCCACGTGTCACAATCGCCACGTCACTGTGCCCAGTCAGCCAACTTTTAGAAATTACATTTTCGCCCCAAATCTTTCAGTAATTCCAAATTTACCCCTATTTTTTATGAAATTTTATATTGACCCCAAATTTTTTAGAAATTCCATTTTAACCCCTAAACTTTCCTAAAATTACACTTTTGCCCCTTGATTTTACCTGAATTCCAGTTTAACCCCTATATTTTTCATAAATTTTAATTTGACCCATCATTCTTCTAGAATCGCTATTTTA